CATGTCTCATAATTTTTGATGTGGTTGAAAATGGGACATATTAGGTAATATATTGTAGTAATTCTGAATTTTTCCCTTAATGTGTTGTCACTGTGTTTTGTTTTTGCTTAATTACTTGCCTAAACACATTTATAGAATCCATTTATCCAGCACTGTGTTACAGCTGATGTCACTGCTCAGTTTAAAAAAAAAAAAGTTCTCATTTTAAAGCCTCAATTCATAGGGATCACATTGTATTTGCATAGATTAATGGCCAGTGAATGAATGGTCAGACCTTGTGTTCAAACATCTCAAGACAGGAAAGCTTCCATCCTCTGGCAATAGATCTGTGGGATCTAGTTGGGGAGCACAGTTAAAGTTCATTTAAAGTATGTGTGCCTGGATTTGCTTACCTCTAGACTCTCTTGTCTTTCCTCTGCACATGTCACAGGCTTAGAGTCAGCCAGTGATGTGTGGATAACTTGAGCCCTCTCAAGTTTTTTCTATTCAGATGCTTGGAAAGCTTATGAAGGCCTCCTATGATGGTCTTATTTTTCAAATATTCCTATTAAATTTCTGACTGATCTGCCAGTTTGCTGCTTGCTCCAGCCATGATTGCATCCTGAGGCTAATTGAGCTGCTGGTCTTCCCTTGTTTGTCTGCCACGCACATGGCTCATGTTACTCACAATGCTGCTGATTGTGGGTCTTTATCATGCTCTGCTCCAAATCGAGTCAGCCCTCTCTGGCATGAACATTAGGATTTCCCACCTTTCCCCACCTTGGTAGAACTGTCTTATGGATTGAGTTGGAGGGTGGGAGAAGACTAGGCAAGAAAGTCACACAAACTCCCACTATTCAAACCAGAAGTTCAGTATCTTTTTCTGAATGATGACTTCTCAGTGTAGTGTGTGCCTTTGGTTGACTTTCAGAGCCCTGAATGGGTTGGTTTTGACAGTTGTATCCAGATTTATCATTACTGTTTTGGGAGAGGAACTGCTAAACTTGCCACTCCACCATACTACATGTCCCACCTCTGCATGGGTCATTTTTACTAGCTCCTCAGCTGATTCTGATGTGGAGCCAGGGTTGAGAATCACTGAGATGCAGCATGATTATAGGGGGATGAATCTTGACTTCACTTCATTCAATAAACATTTGTTGAACACTGTCAGGCACTGCACACAGTGCTGAGGATGCACAGGTAACTTAAGCCATCCCTCTCCTTGAGTAGTCACAGGCAGTGGGAAAGACAGGAGGGAAACCAATAGTGCAGTGTAACCGCAAGCATGTTGAGATGGTGATTCTGGGTTTTGGAGCAGAGTCAGCAGAAGACAATGCTTACAGCCCATCATTTTTTTCTGAAACATGCTGATAGGTTGTCATAACTTTTTCAGAAAGTAAGTAGAACCATACTTAACATAAGTATGAATAAAATTACTTATCCTGGGGAACTAGGACAGTTTCCCCAAATTATCTGATGGTCGTAAACATAACTTTAAAGAACTAGCATTTTACTTTATGTAAATTTTAATGAGCTTTTAAATGCTTTATTTTTAATTGGACTGTGATTATTTCATAACCTCAATTGATGCGAATACATTCAGAGTCATCAAAGGCAGCGTGACACAGTGTGGTCTCCAAGGTGGGGAGTCCATGAAGGCAAACCATGGAAGTGCAGGAAGAACTATTAGCACTTTTATATTTAAAAAAAAAAATCAAATTTGGCCCTTAAAATTTGTCTGTTGATTGAATATTTTATAAAGTGAAAATAATCATATGGCAGTATATGCATAGAATTTATAAATAAACATATATTAGGTGGCATGCCCCCAATATTTTTGGATAGAGAGGACTCAGTCACAAAAGTTGGAGACCACTGGTGTAGTGGAAAGAACACTAACGTAGGTGGGTGCTAGTCCTGGTTTCCCTGCCAACTTGCTACGTGAACACGGGCAAATTACAGAGATGTTCTAGGTCTTTCACATCCATAAAATGAAGAGCGTGGTGTAAATATCCCTAACATCTCTTCCAGCTCTGTGATTCTGTAAGTGGTTTTGTTCTTGCTTTTCCTGTCAAGAATAATTATGAAGTTGTAAGAGCAGAAGGTTATGTTGTTGTTGTTGTTCAGTATTTGCATTAGACTGCACATCTATTTCTGAGTCCCTGGAGTATTTCCAGAGAGAGCTTTCTGTACCTGAGCCTCATCTGTTGGTCATAGATGTGATGATATCATACACACCATGGACTTTCTCTAAATTCTGCTGACTTTAGGCGTACTAACAGAAGACATATCACAATTAGTCGCAGAGTACAAATAGATGTAGACACAGTTACAGCCGCATGAGTTCATGCATGCACTCAAATCAGTCCTTTCCTATGGCTTAATTTCATTGCCATCATGAATTAAAATTCAGAAAGATTCAAGATTTAAGCCTTAGAGAACACTAAGTATAGTTTTAGTAGTTAAAAGACCCACATTGACTCATACACATCAAGTTAAGTGTCCGACTCAGAAACTGACTTCTAAGTCTGAGGATTATTTTCAAAATTTAGTTACAACTAAAAGCCGAAGAGGTTAGCAAATCCTTATTTTGCTCTTTGATGTAGTTCTAAGATATTTAAATTTAAAAAAGAAATTTAAATTTTACATATCCTATTGAACTTCTCTGAAAACATTATTCGACTTTAAAATTCAATAGAGTAAGATGTTAGACTTCCACATTCATGGGTCATAGCAAAATAGACTATTGATGACTTCTCTTCAGATAATTAGTTACACTGAGTATTGTGTAGTCAGTTCCTTAAAACTGTTTTTCTGATTTAGTTGTGTTTGCTAGCTTTGATAAATGACTTAACATTACTAAATAATCCATTAGGTTAACAGCTAATCCTTCACACACTCTTTTTTAATTAGGATTCAAGAGCTTGAAGAAACTTTAGAGAGCACAGCAAAGATTTGATATTTTCTAAATACTTTGGATTTTCTAAATGATACATATAATCATAAAATTATAATACTTTTTATGAATTCTTTTGTTCCAAATGAAATATGCTATGAAAACTGATAATAGTTCCATGAATCTTTACCATAAAGTTCAACTATTAAAAACCATCCACTGTGATTTACCCATAAGAATGGAATAATCACATTCTGGCACATTCTGTGTAATAAAATCATCATTTTAAAGATTTATCTTAAAGGGAAAATGACAGGAAAAAGGAACAACAACACAAGAAAAATAACAGCAAATTATAGCTGTTTGATGTAAATAAACATTAAAAATATGAGCTCATGAGAATATGATGGAATGAATAAAAAGATCAAAAACAGAAAAACAAGAGAAAAGTTAGAAAATACAAATGTTTTATAAATAGAAAAAAATGAATCTCTCATTAAACGCCATAAAATTTTTTTTTGTATGATAATGGAATTACAGGGCTGAAGGGAAATACCACTTTAAACTTAGACCTGTATAAGCACAGCGTGTACTCTGTAACCTGCTGGGAGTATAGAATGCAGTCATTTTGCTGCTGCCTGGAGCAGCGCCAGGAACAAATTTCACTAAGCCTTCCAATTGGTAACCAATCCACAAGCTTGAATTCAAGGTTCTAACCTTTAGTTTTATTGCTGATCATAGAATAAGAGCTAGATATTCGCCCTGGGGGAGGGGGCGGCTAGTGGGGGTGGGAGAGGTTGGCCATTTCCGTGCTACCAAGCGGCCCCGGGATTAAAGGCAGTAGTAGCGCACCCTGCGCCCCCAGGCCCGTAACCACTGCACCCTCTGTACTTCCTAGAAGCGCTACAGCTCCGTGCTGCTTGCTTAGCAGAGGATAGGTTTATTTGCATAATTATGTATCCATTTTATACTATGTATATGTTTGGCCTGTCTTCCCTTGATTTGAGTAATCTCTTTGCTTTTCCTAATGTGTTCTAAAGATTGGGAAATGGTCAAGATTTGGGTGCTTTGGAAGGTTTTTCTGTTTTAACTGGGTAGCTTGTTTTTTCCATGCCACACCACTCACATGCTTCACTTTCTCGTCAGATTTTCTCTACACCAGGGGCCTTTGTAATATTAACTTTTAAATTTAGAATCAGTTCAGGTCTAGGATATTACAAGGAGTAGAGAGAGTTCCTGTACGACTTCCTATTATGATATCTTTCATTACAATGTAGACCGGGGACTTTTAACCTAAGTCTACAGATTCACTACAGAGAGCCCAGGAACTCCTGAAATTTATGCCAAATTGTATGTGTTTGAATAAAAATGCATTTCACTCCATTCAAGAGCTATATGGATAAAGATTGTACTTTTAATTTCAATTCTTTTCTCTAGGTGCAATCTCCGCTCTCATGTTTTCCACTCTGCTAACACACTTTTTGGTTTATTAGAACACTAAGTACCTCCAGGTATACATTTGCACCAGTGTGCACAGGTGGACTTTTGTGTACAAAAAAACTAACAAAGGGTTCTTTATCATGCCCTGCCATTTTCTGAATCACTTGACACTGTATACATAAAATATATTAACTCTATTGTTTGATGAACCCAGTGTTTTTTCAAATGGAGTTTGTCTACACTACATAAAGACCTCAAAGTTGAACCTAGAGGCCCTGTATCAGAATCGCCAGCACTCCCTATCCAGAAAATTTGCATTTTTATCAATCCCTGGAAGGAATTTGGATGCACATGTATCCAAACCATTTATACAGACTACCTAAATTTCCAACATTAACTTAACAGCAAAGGGCATTTGAAGCTATTACAAAAGTACTACTGTTTTCTTTTGAAACTTTAAGGAGGGAAGAAGCCATGAAATTATCATAGACCTATTTTTCTCTTGTGTCTATCTAAAGTACATCATGTGAAGTCTTTCTCACTGTCCTTGAGTTCTAAGGATAAAAGATAATTATAACATTAACTATCTAGGATTCTGTGAAATCTCCCTAAATTTAAAGCTTCCTTTTATAAGCATTTTTTTATTATTATTATTGACTAACATTGGTTTTTTTTTCTCCAGACTTACAGATTCCAGACTGATGTTAGGTTATTCATCCAAGTTGAGCCCCCAAACAAAGAGAGCCAAGAAGAGCCTTCTCTCTGGAGAGGAGAAAGAAAATCTGCCAAGTGACTACATGGTGCCCATTTTCTCCGGTCGGTGAGTACGAATTCTCTTCCTGGCTCTGACTGTTAGAAAGTAGAAAGTAAATGTTGTCAGGCAATAATAATAATAGCAGCTATCATTTATTGAGCACTTACTATATACTTATTGAGAAAAGGCTGAGGAAACTTGGAACTATGCACTAAGGAAGATGTGCTCATTGTGAAAATCTTTGCCATCACATAGGAATGGCTACGTGACAAAACGGAGTGACCAGGAACTTAATCCTCATTAAGTAACTAGTTGAAATTTATAAGAATATTGGATGCTGGGGATTGGGTGCTATATATGGTCACTTTAGATAGAGTAGAAAGAAAGGTTAAAATGATAAAATATTGGGTGAACTAAGTGAAAAAAAAGATGGTTTTTTAGGTAGATTGGTTGCCAGTGTGGTTTTAATTATTACTCATAAGGAAAAAAAAATCTTAGATAACACAAAGTAAAAGAATTGTACCGTAACTTGAATGCCTGGCTTATATTTGTTAAATGTAAAATAGATTACTATTTGTTTTGAACTAAACTTCAGACAAAATAATTACTCTATCACAAGTCTGTGTAATGCCAAATTTGTGTTTATAATATAAATATTTTTTGAATGATAATATATGCAAAAGAAACTTGTCCAAGACACCAGATTAGAGTCTAACAGGAACTTTCTGAGTCTTCCCTGTTTATTTTCCTTTGAATGGAGAATTATTCGCATAGCTGAAGTGATGCTCAGAATGAGGTCGTCCTCTCTGGGCAAGTGCTGTCAGGAAAACCAGTAGGCAGTAATGCGGTTCTGATTTTTGGTGACCTACTTCTGTTCCCCTTGTTTTTTCTTCCCACTGCTTTCTGATGGTTTCTTTCTGAATTGTTTTAGAGTCTAAGTTCATAATTAGTTCTGAACCCAATTAGGAATGTAAGGGGATAAAAAATATTCTGATTTTAGCTTTTTATGTTATTATATCTTTGTGTGTTTTTTTAACATCTGATTTTTTAAAGTGAAACTTTCCTGGGAAACATGCTTTTTTTGTTAAGTATGTTTGCCTAGGCTCAGCCTCTCCACAGTTACGTTAATAACGCTCATATTCCTTTTAGGAGATAGGTAAGTTAAAGGACTAACATATTTTATTTTCTGCTTTTTTTTCCCACTGTGTTTTTTAAAAGTCATTTAAAAATCACATCACCTTATCCTTAATCTCCATGGCGTGCCTCCTCCACCTGCGAGGGCACCAAATAAAAGCTTCTCACTCTCACCGTTTGCTCCCTGCCCTTTCCCCGCCAAACCATTTTGTCTCCTCCAGGCCAGACTCAAGAAATGGTAATTTACAAAATGTACTGTGCAAAACAAAATGTGAATAAAAATTTGTCTTCTAGGTTTTTTTTTTAATTGAAGTACCATCGGTTACAATGTATCAATTTCTGGTGCACAGCACAATGTCCCAGTCATGCATATACTTGTTTTCGTATTTTCTTCTAGGTTTTATTTCAGGGTCTCCTTCATTTTTTATATGGAGCCATCTCCTATAGTCTATTACTATAGCACTCCATAATGCTGTTGGCAGTATTAACAATCAAAGAGGATGGGACAGAAATGAACATTTGTTGAGCACTGGTTGTTCGCTGGGAATCATTCTAGGTGCATCGTATAAACTATCTTGTTAAATCCTTCGTACAGTCCTGGAGAGAGATTAGTATGTCCATCTTTGGACAAGGAAATCAAGGCTCAGTGACTTGCTGAAAGTCATATGGCTGATAGTGGAAAAGCTCATAGTCCCCCTAGGATTGGCAAATGCAGTAACAATGTATTTCTGGAAAATACAATTTCTTCTGGAAGGCAGTTGAAAATTCCACTTCTTATAATCTCTTCTTATAATAAACTCTGTGTCAGCAACAGGTTTTAAGTTGAAATCATTAGAGACACAGTGTTGGGAAGCTTTTTAATTTGCACTAGCGTGTTTTTGTCAACAGTTAGCATCATTTTTGCTCTTATATCCGGATTATAGCAGGGTTATCATTGACATGCAGTTGTATTTACTTAAAAGCAAATATCCCTGCTGTCCGGGTCAAAAAACATATTTTTTAAGTTACTTGAGTTCACCTGTGAAATAATTACAGTTTTCCTCCCACCTCCACCCGCCCTGAGGTTTATTTGCAAATGGAAAAGGCAAAGAAACAGTGACTATTCTGCCCTCTAGAGTTATGTCAACTAGTCCACTGTTAGAGGGAATGTGAGCTTAAAGTTCTCAACGTAGAGTGGTCTCAACTCAGGGTCAGACTAGCATTGAATATAATCTATTATTATATATATGGAATCATATTATAAACCTCACTTCAAATCTTTATATTATAAATTAACCTCTATAGAGAATTCCAAGCAGATTGTCATGATGGTTTATTTTGTATTCACTTATTAATTTATTCACTTCCTATCTCATTCAAATAAAAAAAATTAGAGGTAATTATGTCAGAACACTACACTAAGCTAAAAATCTTCCATCTTCCTTTTTCTCCTCCTTCTAAATTATAGCAGATGTATTACTGACTTCTTTAGTAGAGACTTCTTATTAATATTTGGAGAGATAGAGGGAAGGAAAAAGAAATTAAAAATTACTAAGTTTAATTAGACACAAAGTGGACTACTCTTGTCTACCAGATGTTTTAGTAATATTCTATGAGAATATTCAAACTTGGGCAAATGTTGATCCCTTTTTCTCAGCAAACTACATAGATTCAGGTGCCAGGAACTTGTAAACACAGTGGCAATGTTTGCTTCAATTTTGAAGTAATTATTCTTTTGAGAAAAGCAAATATACAATTCTGCCTTAAGAGATCTCGAGAGACTCAATTTCAAGAGAATCTTCAATGGAGTCAATACACTGCCTCACTGAAACATCTCGTAGGATTGGCAACAAAGATATTGATGGAGTTTAAAAATAATTTAAATATTTTACACAACATTACTAAATCACAGCATAAATTCTATCATAAACTATTACATTAGGCACAGCACTTTTGTTTTTCTTGTTTTTTTTTAATTGACGTATAGTCAATTTACAATGTGTTCGTTTCTGGTGTACAGCACAGTGATTCAGTTATATATATATATTCCTTTTCATATTTTTTATTATAGGATATTACAAGATATTGAATATAGTTCCGTACACAAGGTCCCTGTATGACCTTGTTTTTTATCTATTTTGTGTATAGTAGTTAGTATCTGCAAATCTCGAACTCCCAATTTGTCCCTCCCCACCCCCTTTCTCCTCTGGTAGCCGTAAGTTTGTTTTCTATGTCTGTGAGTCTTTCTGGTTTGTAAATAAGTTTACTTGTATCATTTTTTTTAAGATTCCACATGTAAGTAATATCATATATTTGTCTTTCTCTGCCTGACTTATTTCGCTTAATATGATAATCTCTAGATCCATCCATGTTGCTACAAATGGCATTATTTCATTCTTTTTTATAGCTGAGTAGTATTCTATTGTATATATATATATATATATTATATCTTCTTTATCCATTCATCTGTTGATTGACTCTTAATTCATGTCTTGGCTGTTGTAAATAGTGCTGCTGTGAACATTGGGTGCATATATCTTTTCGAATTAGAATTTTGTCCGGATATATGCCCAGGAGTGGGACTGCTAGATCATATAGTAACTCTATTTTTAGTTTTTTAAAGAACCTCCATACTGTGTCTGTATCCATAGTGTCTGTATCAATTTACATTCCCACTAATAGTGTAGGAGGGTTCCATTTTCTCCACAACCTCTCCAGCATTTATTATTTGTAGAATTTTTAATAATGACCATTCTGACTGGTGTGAGTTGATACCTCATTGTAGTTTTGATTTGCATCTCTCTGATAATTAGCAATACTGAGCATCTTTTCATGTGCCTGCTGGCCATCTGTATGTCTTCTTTGGAGAAATGTTTGTTTAGGTCTTCTGCCCACATTTTGATTGGGCTGTTTGTTTTTTGATATTAAGCTATATGAACTGTTTGTATATTTTGGAAATTAATCCCTTTATTTGTTGTATTGTTTGCAAATATTTTCTCCCATTCCATAGGTTGTCTTTCCATTTACTTATAGTTTCCTTTGCTGTGCAAAAGCTTTTAAACTTAGTTAGGTCCTATTTGTTTATTTTTGCTTTTATTTCCATTTCTCTAGTAGGCAGATCCAAAAATATTGCTGTGATTTATGTCAAAGAGTGTTCTATGTTTTCATCTACGAGTTTTATAGTATATAATCTTACATTCAGGGCTTTAATCTATTTTAAGTTTATTTTTGTATATGATGTTAGAGAATGTTCTTCTAATTTCATTCTTTTACATGTAGCTGCCCAGTTTTCCCAGCACTGCTTTTTGAAGAGGCTGTCTTTTCTCCATTGTGTAGTCTTGCCTTTTTGTTCATGGATTAAAGACCATAAATGTGTGGGTTTATTTCTGATCTTACTATACTTTTCCATTGATCTATGTGTCTGTTTTTGTGCCAGTACCATACTGAAAAACAAATCACTTTTGCAAGCATCAACACTTCAATTGTGAGTTTGATCATTTCTTTACATCAGGACTATGTGCAAATGAAGATTGTCATATTAAATATGCATACACACATATAACCTTTATTATCTTAGAAAGGAACTCCAGTGGGCATAAAGATCTCACATAATTTTGAACTTATTTATGTGTGCAGCAGCTCTGGGCAGTGCATTACTCACCTGAGTTACAGAATCCAAAGCAAGCCCATAGTCATAAATCAGGATCACAGCTACACAACTATCTGTCATTTTACAATATCGTCTTTTCTGGAGGGAAGTCATAACTTAATCTTTTATTATAGACTTTAATGTTATTAAGTTGTATTTAAATGCACTAAAGAAATCAAAGAAGTGACCTTGGGCAAGTTATCTAACTTCTGTGTGTCTTGCAACCGTATATCTAAAGTAGAAAGGATAAGTTTACTTCATAGGGTTGTTGTGGGTGGGGGAATGAGATAATGTATATAAAAAGCACTTGGCAAAGCACCAGGGCCATAATAGGTTTCGTTATTGTTGCTACCATTATTTGTAAGGTGAAGATCACTTCCATATGTGAAAAGTTAGCTCCCAATCACTAGGTTTTTCTTTGGGTGTGGTGCACATCTGAGATCTAATACTTTGAACTTAGTAAGATTGGGCAGTTTTATCACTGCCATCCACAATATCTATAATATATTTTGCTATTATTATATTTTAGCCAAGTGCACGTCAGTGGAATTACAGACACAGAAGAAGAAAGAATTAAAGAAGCTGCTGCTTATATAGCCCAGAGGAATCTTCTTGCTAGTGAGGAAGGAATCACGGCAGCCAAACAGTCCACGGCAGCCAAACAGTCCACAGTATCCAAACAGTCCACGTCCACCCTTCACCGGGAGGAAGCTGTTGAGAAGAAGTCGAGGAAAGTTGCAATTCGAGAAAAGGCAGAACACCTGTCACTGAAGAAAACAGTAAGAAAAGATAATTTAATATAACTTACTAAAGTAGAAATGCAGAAGCATTGTGTGTGTGTGTGTGTGTGTGTGTAGATATAGATTAATTGCTTTCAAATTAAATAAATATGTGATCTTGTGGAGACACAAAGCTAAAGAAAACAAGGAAAAAGACATCAAAATGTATAGATCAAAGAAAGACAAATTTAATAGTTTCAAATTCCATGAAATTATAGGTTCTACAGAAATTAAAGTCCTTGGGCAATCTTAGGAAATCCACTTTAGGGAAGAAAAATATGTTGGTCAGGCTTAGAATGTTAAAAATTAAGTGATGTGTCTGTTTTTTAAAGGAGTGAGGGGAATGTGTTTGATCTGAATACAAAAATCAGGCTCCAAATGGAAAAATGATCATTTTGATGTCTACGTTTCATTTTTCATAACACATGTTACTTTGATTTCATAATGTTATTTTTTTTCAGTTAGAAGAAACTGAGGCATATCATAAAAAGTTGAATGAAGATAGTCTTCTCCATGCTCCTGAATTTATCATTAAACCTCGTTCCCACACTGTTTGGGAGAAAGAAAATGTCATATTACACTGCTCTGTAGCCGGCTGGCCGGAACCTCGTCTCACGTGGTATGCTATCTTTATGAAAACTTCTTATAGAATCGATTACTCCACGTTAATTTTACCCCTTGTGAAAACATGCAGCATTGTGAGTATGCAAGAGTCAGTGACAGTGTCTACAAGTCTGTATAGATTTTTTTAATTAGTGAAGGAATAATACTGGAATGAACATTTCACGTGTGGGAGGAAAGAACGGTCCTGCCTCCATTGTGCTTTATTCTGATACTTTATAATCCTCTTATGCAAGTGGGTCTTCATCTTATATAAAGCGTTAAAATTTAGTCAGCATATTTATTTGGTATCATTTTGTGATGAGAAGCAATACTGCCTTTTAAAAGTAATTGAAACCCAGAGGGCCTCCTGTGAGCTGAGGTCTTGATATGTTTTCTAAAGCCAAACAAAAGATAGGATTGGATGGGCGCTGTTATCAGCATGGAGCCTGAAGAAATTTTTGTTCCATAAAGAATAAGCAC